TGCCTTTCTACTCATAGGATGTATTCTATGTAATTATGACCTCATAATATTTTGTTTTAATGTAAAGATGTTGTCTTAAGAATTGGCTGTGGGACAAAGCAAATTGTCTGTGGTCTGATGTGTATGTTCAAGGTTTTTGTTCACATTTTTTTTTCCTTTTAAATGAAATTTTATACATCAAACGTACCAGAGTTATCGGTACTCAGTATTGGGTATGTCGTCAAAGATTGAATAGTCAACATTTGTCTGAAAAACGTGGTCTGGAATATCCCTATTCAAAAGTTTAGAGAAGGTCAAATGAGGTTGACTTGAAAAGAATACACTGGATTTTAGGTTTGAATAATTCTGAATTTTGGTAAGTCGCCTGTCGTGCATTCAACACAAAATGTGCCTTTTTAGCTCATCGGTCCGAGCTCACCATCTGCCTCTGGCATTGAGACACACACATGACTCACATGTGCAGAGGATGGTTTTAATGATGTGAAGTCAAGCGTTGGCTGCTATTGCACTGTTTAGAAAACATCTGAAGCCCGAATGTGAGCTTCAGAGGAATTCTTCCGCTGCGGTTGGAACATGGTAGTTGTTATGCAGTGTCATGACATACCAGCCAACTGTTTGGATCAATGTGAGAAAAACAAAAAAACAATCGATCAGCATTTGGAAAAAGCCCCTCCATTCCCACACTTGTTCAGTCTGTTAAAAAAAAAGAAAGAAAAGAAAAGGGGGTATGTTGTATAAAGAAATGTAAAAATGCAATTCGCCTTGAATGAAACACTTCACCCTGCTATGCATTCATGCTCAAAATTCTTATTGTAAATACACACTGTATATAACGTTTCTGGCGTTGTGTGATTTTAACTTAATGCTTCATGCCAGCACTGCCTTCAATATGAACTTGATTTCTATTATTCAGCCTTTGTATTGTTTTTTTTTTTTGTTGTTGTTGTTGAAAATACATTTGACTGTACTTTACTTAGAGTCCAACTGACTTTTTCTGATATCTTATTATATTTATATCTCCTGAGCAGAGTCATACAGTGGAACTTCCTGCTTGCAATTCGACATAAACCAAAATATTCTTCTGAAGTTGCACACAAATGTACAAATTCTGTAAGGCCACCGTTCAGCAGGAATAGAAGGATTTACTTTTTTGGGTGTGGGGGCGGGGGGGCGCCCTGAGGTGTAAAATAAAAGAAGCATGTCAGTTTTAAATTGAGTCAACGCAGTCAGAATCCAGGACTGTCCTAATATTTTTGTCCATCACCCACATAAGTGCGGTCAATTAAAAACATGAGGTTGAGCTTTATTTTATGTTATCATTTAAAATGGTTAACTTTTTTTTTTATACATTTGTGTCAATTAGGACAAATGAGATGCCACGAAATGTCTCGGGCTTTTTGTCATTTGCCATCACAGACTATTTTATCGTTTTTACTCCGGATGTTCAATACCACTTTTTTTTTTAAGACCGATATCAGTACTAGTGCAAACCTTTTACCTACTCACCGATACCACGTAACCGATACCACAAGTACTTTTGATGCATAATATGTAGTATTAAACCAATGACAGATCATTTTAAAGAACGACCTTTCAATTATTTCTGACCAAAGACAGAGCAGTCACTCTGCAAAAGTCCCAAATAAAACACAAACAAGTAGCTCAGGATTTAGAATCCATTTGTAATAAATTAAACAAAAGTGCAAAATAAAACAGAAAATAAAACTCTTTCAGTTTTCCTCTTTGTTATTTTCCAAAATAATACAGGTGCAACTGCGAACTGTTACGCATGACACTACAAAGTTGGCAAAATTTAACATTTTACACATTTGGGTTAATAAAGAATGTGCAAAATGCTACCTATCACATGCACAATATCTCGTAACACGTTTGTCTTCAAACTTTCCTGTTTATCGTTTTTAATTTTATAAGTATTTCCTTTAAAAGATTCATAGGTGGCTACACTTTGACCTTTATTTCAATGACAGTCAACTTAAGAGGATCGACTGTACAAAGCCTAATATGACTTGCAGATCCAGTTTTGAGCCCATTTCCCACCCCTCTTCTCTTATCAGCGAAGGCCGAGACGATGATTCCCGTGTGAAGGGAGGAAGCTGCCGCACAGATCCTCCTGTGGCCTAATCCGGGCCTTGCATGCGTCTGTGATGTTAGGCCCGTCGCAGTTGAAAAGGTCACGAGTGAGTAACATCGCATTTTACTCTCTGGAAGACACTTTGATCTCCTGGTGGTTTGAACATCCTGTCGGCCTCCCCGTAAACACCTCCGGGGTACAATTGAGTGGAGATGTGGAGGTGGGAGGGGGAACGGGGTGATCAAACCAACCTGACCCCCCCCACAGTCAAATACAAACCACAAAACAGTGAATACGGGAAGTGGAAGAGGAGGGTGAAGGGGGCTACGGTCGTTCTGATGTGGCCTTTGACAATGGTGGGAGGGTTCGACACCTTGCTCTCACTTACTGGCCTCGTCTCCGAGTCTTGAGACTCTCCCTCCCCCCCCCTCCACAGCCCCTCCAGATGTGAAGGCATGCCGAGGGGGTACACACTGTGAAATGCTGCAATTTTGGTGCTGTTCAAGTCCTGCAAATATCCACAATCTCCAGATTGCGCCTCCGTCAACGACCTCCTCGTCCCTGAGACCCAGACCACTGTCGTTGTCTACTTCCACTGCCTCTCACGATGCCGAGCAAGGATTTATTCTTTTCACCCATCTTTGAGTTCCACAGAAGCTTTTAATTTGCCTTACGTTCTCGAATGTATTCAAGATGATTTTAATGGTTCGAACTCTGTCTCGGAAGGAAATGTACAAAATTCAGTGATTTTTTTTTTTAAATAAATGGCGCAACAACAAATCCAATATAAAAGAATACAGACAAAAATTTAAGAACGACGCAGATTATTATCAGTTATACATACAATGAAATAAAATAATTGAGTGGTTACAAGAAAATGTACCAAACACAACAGTGCGGACAACAAGATACCATAAACAGGACAATCATTTGCAACCCTGCAATCAAATCTAGTGAAATATTTCTAGCACAGTCCTATCATAAATAAATTAAAATAAAATGATCTGTGTCAAGAACAAAGCCTCTACACACTAATACAAAAAACAACAACATTTTTCTAAGTGGAGAATTTCAAAATTCCCATAGTCATATGATAAAATGATGATTTTTATGGTCATGGCCCAAATAGAGGATCACAATTAACATATTCATAGTCCTGTAATATGAAAGAAAGAATACTGTGTATTTTGTATGTAACTCACGTTAAAAAAAAGACATTAAAAAAATGGCCTAAAATAAAATGAAAGAATATCTACCCCCCAATTTTTTGGGGTTTATTTTTATTTTTTTAATGATTTTAGATTCTTTAAAAAGGATTTAAAAGCAGACAACACGAATTAGGGTCGGTAAGTACTTTCGGGTATACGGTGGCAGCCTCAACAACAGTTCTCCCAGTTTTAAAAAAAATGTCGTAAAGTGTATTACAAAGCTCATAGTTGTAAAAGACATCATTTCTAAAAAGCTAATTGTTTCATTTTTGAATGGCTTTGGAAAACAAGAACAAAACAAAGTTGCTTCAATTTTTGAATGACATGACATCGATGACTGAAAATCTACATCGACATTGGAAACAATTTTTAGTAATTGTGTTATTTTTTTGCTACTGTGACAATAACTTCAAAATAACTTTTTAGGGTAAAAAAAAATAGTAAGTGAATGTGGGGCTTGAAATGTGAAAAATGGTCAATTATGTGTGTCAAAGTGCGGAATGTGAATAGTGAATAGTGATGAATATTTTTACATTTCATCCTTGACAATAAAAGTATTTCAAAAAGTTTTGTATGAATGTGATTTCTGCAGCACCTGAGACACTTAGCAGTTTATTTGGAGCATAATTGGACATGACGACAATTTCACAGGCTCTCGTATGCGCGAGGGGCCAAAAAAAGAATTCTGTGTGACTCCCAAAACATGGTTGGCGCTTTATCAATGTTGCAATGTTCTCCCGGCCTGCGGCTTTGAAGTGCAAGTAGTATTGTGTCTGAGGGCTCTCCCCATTTGTTTGTCTCTGATGTCCGAGGCCCCCTGCCATGCATTTCACTTCACTTTACAAGGTGTGCCATTGAGTTGCCCGTGTTGGTTTGCTAATCAATTTCAATTGCAGAGATCAAACATGGACATCTTCCGGTAGGGGGATGCCGTTTCATTCGCGTGCTCCTCTTTTGTTGCTGATAACAAGTGATCACAGGCCAGCAACGACTATCCTGAAGCTTTAATGACACTTAATCTCACACGACAGCCCACTTTTACAATGTCGACATGTCTGACACAGCCCATAAAGTAACAAATATTCATATTTTTAAATCACATGCAGTCTACTGCTGACTACTTCGATTTCAGCAGATGATTGGTGATAACCAGGCATGACGAAATAGATACTTTGACACTTGATGTAGTATGCCTTGGATCATGAGCCATTGCTTTCACATCAGTAGATGCATAACTAGCTAATGTATTGTTGTTATTGTCTTTGAAACATGATGAAAACTTTGGCTCACAAACTGTTCCTTTCAGATAAACTCAATTCAATACAATACAAATAGGTAATGCGTTATTATCGTTGACAAATGATGTGGTATACTTTGGATCATGAGCTTTTCCTTTTGTGTGAAGAGCTATCCAGTATACATGGGGCATTCATTATCGTTGACATGTGATGTCGTATGCTTTGGATCATGAGCTAGTTACATTTTTAGGCCAGTTCACGGGGAAAAGAAATATTGAGATATTTTCTTTTTTAAAGAAGATATTGATGCAGATTCTGACGGCATAATGTAAAAAAAAAAAAAAAAAAGATTTCGAGCAGGCCAGCCGTAAGAGATACCACGCCCCTTCAGGGATGCAGCCAATCAGGAGGCCCGTGTGAGGTCCGAGGACATGGGAGGAGGAAAATGATTAAGCCTAGCTCGCCGCAACTTTTCTCGCCTGTGCTGTGGAGCAGCAGCGGAGCACACTCACACACTAAACACGGCCGACGCATCCTGAAAGCTTAAACAAAAGAAACTTTGTGCCAATCGCCCCAAACCGGACGGTGCAGTAATGACCGAGGGACTCTGAACGCATCCCTGTCTGTCTGAAAAGACAAGACGAGAGTTTTGTTGGACTATGAGCGAATTTTTGGGCTTTGCCGAGCAAAGCAGACGATCTTTTTTGACAACTTTACGTCCTTTTTTACACATTTTTTGGATGAGATTCTTCTGGTTTTGACCTTTTTCCTTCCATCGTTCATCATACGAAAAATCCTAGGATGGGACCACTTCTCATCTGCGTGGTTATTCTACTCAAAGTAAGAAAAAAGTCATTACAATTGACAGTAATACCCCCCCCCCACCACCACCTTCCCGTTTTATGGTTTATCAAACCAACTATGGTATAATTTTGATAGTTAGTAATAATACAGCAAAATAAGTAACTCAAAGTGTAATTCACAATGTATTTTTACATTAAGTGACAAAAGCAGTCACCGTTAATGGGACTTAATAGTTTCTCTCCTTTGTGGCACACTTCCTGCAATCGCACACACACACACACACACACACACACACACACACACACACACACACACACACACACACACACTACTAATAGTCTGCTGGGAAGTTTTCATACTGGAAAACCTTTTCTCTCTTTTTGGCAGGGATTAATGTATTCATCCGTCCATCCATTACCCGAGCCGCTTATGTGAAAAATAAGAACGCCACATGACACTTTATTTTCCACCCTCAGCCATTATAATTGGCAACAGCTGAAATAAAGCAGCTTGTAAATTCGTTATACTCTTTCAAGTCATAAGAATGATTTATGACGGATAAGTGAAGTTGTAACGGGCCATCACGTGTTACTATTGTTGTTATGAAAATCAATTATAATGGATAACGGAGTCATACAGTCACAGAAATCTGCCAGCTCAAACTGCCTGGGGCTTGTAGTCTTGTCTGAATATGCCCCCTCAGTGAAAACACTTCATCAGATCAAAGCGATATATGTATATAGTTGACATTTAATTATGTACGCAGTGGTTTTCAGAACAGGGTTTAGTGCCTTCTCAGAGGCATCTTTTTTGAAGATTCTTACTGTTGTGTGCCTGCCAGGCCAATAGTGGGCGATGTCACTTTGTAAAGTAGCATAGGCGAATGCACGCTTAGTAGTTGCTTTTCCTGAGTGTCGACTGGGTGAATCTGTCGACTACGCCTAACAGCAGACTAATGCCGTAAATGTCGATGATGTTATAAGCACGTTTAAAATTTTTCATTTTCAGGCCATTTTTCCACGAAGTTGTGGGATTCTTGCACATGCGCAGAGCCCAACACGCTCAAAAGTAGCACGAAGAATTTGTTAGCACTTAAACAGAATTACCCAATAGTTTCACAAAATACAAATGTGTTTAATGTATGTGTAAAATTGTTTAGTTGATGAACATTTTAATTTCATAATTAACAATAGGTCAACATTCACTGAGATAAATATGGCAAATAAAAACAATAAATACCTTTAATTCATTTAAAAAACGCGAAATAAATGCCAAAATCACTCTTCATAACAGAATGAGGCAGGCCACATGTGCCCCTGAAGGCCAGTGATTCCCAACCTTATTGAGCCAAGGCACATACTTTTAGTTTTAACCCCCCCCCCTCCACCCTCAAAGAAATGTCACAAAAAGTGGTTAACACATGTCAATGGTATATTTTCTGCCATCTAATAGAATATATGTATATTTGTTCTGTCTGTGATCATAAGATTCTGGTCTAGGTAGATGGGCAAGGATACACTATTTGTTATACTAAATAAAAACATTTCTGACTAATTTAGTGATGTTTGATCATTTTCCACGGCACAGCTTAAAAGCTCTAACGGCACACTAGTCTGCCCCAGCACACTGGTTGGGAATCACTGACCTAGGCCCCTACTTTGCCCACCCAGCACGAGACCATAAATACAGTACAAGGAGTAACTTTCAAATTTTCCATCCATCTGAACCGCATACTCTCTCAGTTTTCCACTGCAGAAACACACTGGTCATGTCAACAAACTTCCAATAGTTTTTTTTCAATTACAAACAAAGTGGTGTAAACAGCCTGCACTTTTAATCGAGTCCTCTCATTGTTACTTTGGGCATCTCGCTGTGAAAATGGGGCCTCACGCTCAGCATCGCTGGGGTCTGGATATCCGGAGTTGAGCAATTATCCCTATTTTCTCCCACATTGTGGCCCATATAAAGTGTGTGTGTGTGTGTGTGTGTGTGTGTGTGTGTGTGTGTGTGTGTGTGTGTGTGTGTGTGTGTGGTGGGGCTTCGGTTCGTTAGTTAGTGTGTTATCACAGCACGTACAATGAGTAGAATTCTCCACGAGGGGGAAGGGGTGGATTGTAAATTTCAAGCACTTCACCAACTCTTTCATGCAAGATGACGAGTCACTCCTGTTTGATTTACAATCATAATTTCGCACAACCAAGCATCGTTTAATTTGTCCCTCATGCTCCCGACAGTAATCAGCATGAAGGAGGGGTGGTCTGCAACATTACCCCCCCCCCCCCAACCTTAACCCCTTGCCAAGCCCAGGCATGCTTTTTGTGCTGAAAGAGGGCCTGTCTTGTTTGCATCCGCGGCCTGACAGTGGAGTTCACGGGTCAGTGTGCTCACGTGAAGGCAAGTGTGAGTGCATCCTTTTGTGTGTTTATTTTCACGCAGATTAAGTTAACTGCTGAGAGGCCACCACATGCGCTTAAAAAGAGAGCTTTGACTCACTTCAAAGCACACAGAAAATGTTAGCTTGGCTGCGCGTGAGCATGTGTGCGTGTGTTGACTGAGGGACTCCGGCAGCCGTGCAGTAGAAAGCCCCCACATTGAAAGCCCCGCTCCTCGGTGGTCCGTCTATTCCCAGTGGGGACTCCTTTCAAATTGCAACTTTTTCATACACTAATGGAAAAAAGCAACTGCGCCCCCCACCCCCCACCCCATTTGCTTCTTTTTCAAATCTGACTCTGTCGCCCTAAAGGCAGCAGATAAGCGCCACTGTGCTTGAGTGCGTACACAGCCACTTAAAGCCTCCTTGAAATGTGCACACAAAGTCACGGCAGGACGTTTAATGGCAGCTCAGTGCTTGATTTGGATCTTTTTTAGGAAAGGATTGTCAATTTGGAGTGATGGAAAAACTCACATCTCTTGAATGCAAAAAGGATTTATGTTGGCAACAGTTAACCTCTGGAACGGATTCATGATAAATATGAACAAATTGGTGCTTGGCGACCCGAACAGACAACGTGTGACATTGGAGGTGGGTGGATTTAAAAGGGTTTTCATCGCTTCTGGCATAAGTTGCTGCGACACAAATGGAAAAATACACAATACGACGCAAAAAAGACACATTTCAACCTCTCTGAATGTAACAAATGAGGAGGATGTAGTAAAAGTTGCCTGAGTGAGGAAAATTTATGATTTCCCGACATGATGGAACACTTCACAACAAGTCGCAAGTAGCAGATAGTGAAAAAGACTGAGCTGTTTACTGTCAAACTAAACATAAAACAAAAGGGTAATTACACATTGTGCATTAGAAGCAACCACATAACTGCCTTTAAGTCCACTAATTTAATGCTAAGGCATAATGGGAAACACCTAGGATGGGCTAACAAGTTGCATACACGTGGCAGTGTTACAACGCTTCAAGCAACTTGAACACAAACAATGCAGCAACACATGTAGACAGTTATCCTCTGTGTAAAACTCCTCATATTACTGCAGGGTCACTTGAAGAAGCTGTGACACTCTCATTCAGTTGTGCCTGCATGACTATATTATACTGCCCCTCTCTGGTCAAGTTGTGCACACTTGAAGGAGCTGCAATGAATTAATCATGATGCCCAAATTTTATGCCAATGTAACTTTTGCAATCAATCTTTATTAGCGGTGCAGCACAGCTGGAAATAGCAGAGTGTTTCTCAATGTAATTTGAATATACAGTATTACAATTTAATTAAATGTATTTTAATGTGCGGCTGCCCAGTGATCCAGTGGTTAGCGCGTCCACCTCACAGAGCAGAGGTTGTGGGTTCGATCCCGGCTCCGGCCTTCCTGTGTGGAGTTTGCATGTTCTCCCCGCGTGGGTTTTCTCCCGGTACTCCGATTTCCTCCCACATTCTAAAAACATGCATGGCAGGATAATGGAGCACTCGAAATTGTCACGAGGTGTGAGTGTGAGTGCGGATGGTTGTTCGTCTCTGTGTGCCCTGCGATTGGCTGGCAACCGGTTCAGGGTGTCCCCCGCCTACTGCCCGAAGACAGCTGGGATAGGCTCCAGCACACCCTTGTGAGGAAAAAGCGGATCGGACAAAGGATGGATGGATGGAAAGTATTTTAATATGTGGAAAAAGTAACACCACTCATAGTTTGGCCATTGGTGTGCATGCCTTGGCCACCAGGGGTCTGTCTAAAGAAATTCATAGCAAATCCTGAAGACTGTCACAGCGCACTTCAGTAGTTGTTTCTGACAGAGGATAAAGAACATACGCCTGTGAGTCGTAATATTTTCTGTCCTCATGTGATTGCTTCACCATTTGTGTTCAAATATCTATTTCTTAAAGGGTTATAACCACAGAAACGTGTACTGTATGCCGGTTTCGCGAACCCGTCAATGGCGTTCTCATTGTGTTCACATTAAGCAGGCAGATTTTCATAATGTATGTGGGCAGTTGAAATAGAAAAGGTGTAAAGTTTAAACTTGAACTGGGAGTGGCAATGAACAGCTTGAAGCAAGCGGCCACTTTTTTGAGGAATTGCTTCCTATCGGCTGCTCGCTGTGAAGTTTTTGGCCACCATTTACTGCTCGCAACTCAAGAAAAGAAATCTGCTGATTGAGTGACGATTCAGTTTTTGAAAAACGTGCACGTCGGGTCACTTGTCGTTTGAGACATGTACATTAATTCACAATGAATCATTATTCTATATTCAATACGAAATACCTAAAACAGCACCATTCACTCAGTCTTCCTCTCAATTACAAGTGAAATAAAAAAGTTCCTTTACTCCCCCAATTCAAACTTGTCGGGAAAAAAAAACCCTCAAAAAACACCCACCTGCATTGCATTCTCATTCTACCCAACTTGAAATTGCCCATAAGTCATCTGCTCAAAATCCTGCTGGTAAACATTAGCCGTGATTCCATTCAGAAAGTGGATAATGGCTTAGTCACCAGTCTGCCGCGCAGATGAGTGCTCCCACTGTGGATGGACGCCTCATTTCATTGCGCGCTTGCGTGGGCACTGCCGGGCCGCTTTGACAGCTCTGGCCTGATTCTGGATTCAAACTCACTCAGGTGATGTGAGACCCGCGTCTCCAAATAAAAATAGAAGTTGAGATTTAAGAGGAGTTCAGTCTGTTTTCTGTGCTCCAAACGCCGTCCTGGTCCGGTCCGGCAAATCCAAACATCTGACTAGTTTGTGCCGGATGCCGTTACCTCCCCACGCCACCCCCGGACGCCATAATTCGTCTGATCTGGGTTTTGTGGCAGGCTGGTGCTCAGATATCATCAAGCTCCTCTGAAAGGCCCGCACTCAGCCCGGGTGTTGTTTTTGGATCCAGGGCAAGCCCCCAATTCTAAACGCTTTCTGCAGTCATATCAGTTTTGGAGCCATTTGGGTTCACGGCGTGTATTTGAAAAGGGGCCTTTCGGTTCGATGTGCTGCAGGTTCACACACGTCCTTGGCGTTTCTTCAGACCTCGGAGTTAAAGAGAGATATTAGTGGGTTGTTTGGCTGTGACTTTTCTCCCTTTAGGTTAGTTGTTAGACATCTGTTAGCTCTCGTCAGACCCCCTCCGGGGCACTGCGGGCCAATCTGCCTTTAAATGTGTGCGTGTTTAAGATGCCTGCCAAAGGGTAGTAGTGAAATAGTGAGCCTCATCCACACACCTGCAGGGCTCTTGGGGACTTCAAAGGTCTCGCTCTCCCTCTAGACAGACACTCGCATGCTGGGCAGCCGCGTGCATCCGACACCCTCGCCTCAGGCTGGTCGTGTCCCCCTTGAAATGCCCCCCCCCCCACCTCCCACGTCTTTCTCCGGAGAAATCACACAAAGTACAGCCTTTGTCATTCGTTCTCCGTGAGCCGGAGGTGTCGGAGCTCTTCTTCCGTCCTCCTTTTTCCCTCGCTTCCCCCTCTTATTCTTCGCAGCACTCCATAGCCATCTGATTAAAGCCAGCCTCTGCTCTCAGGCGCCAAACCCCGCTGCACAATCTGTTAGGAATGTCTGATCTATCCCTCATGTCATAACTCACGCTGGGCTCTCCATTACCCACTTGTAGATAAGGCCTCTGAGCACTTTAATGGGGCCAAAACCGTGGCAGATGAAAAGATTAAATGAGAGTAAAAAAAAAAAAAAAAGACCCCATTTCAGTCACTCACTGCCCTGTTTTGTTCTTTTTTTTTTATTGCCCATGTGGGGCAAGGCCCCCCCCCCCCAAATAAACATTCGAACATTCAAAATGATGAGCAACAACGGGACTTCATCAAAATTAAACCATCATTTCTAAACCCACATGCCAGTTATCAGTGATCTCGGTGGAAATGTTTTTCAATAGGGACAGGCCAATAAAAAAACAGGTATCAATATTGGGACGATACCGGCGTTATTTTAAGTTACAGTATTGGGTCCTCATAGAGGCTGCCGGTATCAGCCACTGATACTTAAGGCAAAATCAATCTGACATTAAGTCCTCCTCGGCGTATTCGGCACTATGCTTTGACAGTCTGCCCCATGGGCGAGTCATCATCTGTGTTAGAAAGAAAGATCTTTCCACACAATTATTTGTCAGCGTAGTGGTATCGGTCTGAAAAAAAGTGGTATCGAACATCTCCACTTTTGAAATTGACAACGTATGATGCATTTTCTGTCAGGCAGTGATATTTTTTCACTGACATGTATGCATTGTTATGCATCATTTCTTACATTATTGATTAACAATGATTTAACAGGAGGGAACAGATAAATATCAGTTGGCGACACTTGATTTAAAAAAAAATAATTCGATGCAAGTTTCGCTTCTGAACCCTTCCTTGTAAATCACAGTGTCCTTTGTTTCATTTTTAATGTGAGGTGCAGCTGCCCTAAGGGGAGCTTGAGGAAAAATAAAGAAAAACAGTTCGGGCAATCGATTTATTGTTTTGTTTTGTAAGTAAGGTGGTCCCAAAATAGGATCCACAAAATCAATGTGATGGAATTTGCATTTGCTATTCAGACAGTGATATGAAAAGCAGAACTGTGCATACGGGCTACATAATTACTTTGCTTCAGACTACAATGACGTCATAAATTCTCTTACTTTAAATTTCTTGCAATTACATTTTAAGTTGTTGTTAAACTGACCTGTCGTTTTAGTTGTTAAATATTAAACAAAACAAAAAAACAAAGTAGCTTACACCCTAACCTCCTTGAAAGCCCTAATATTGAATTTTGTCGTGTTTCCTCCCAGGCTGTCTCTGGCGATGCTTGCGCCAGCGGACAGTTCACCGAATCTGGCGAGTGTTGCAGTGTTTGTCCCGCTGGCTTTGGAGTGATGGTGGAGTGCGGTAAAGAAGATACCAAATGCACGCCATGTCCACAGGGTAAGCAATTATCTTCTAGTGTTACCCCACTAATACCAAAGACTTGTCTAATTGCTGCCTTTGTCTGTGCAAGAGGCGCATGTCAGACTAACAGACGGCCTGTGTCATCTTTCTCGCAGGAACTTTCTCCCCCTCCGAAGACCTCGGCCGTTGCCTCCCGTGCTCACGGTGCCCGTACGGCGTCCCCACTTTTGCGCCGTGCTCCGCCGTCGAAGACACACAATGCGAATGCGACAGCGGCTTCTTCTACTTTGATGGCCTGTGCGCGCCTTGTTCCAAATGCAAGCGTGGCGAGGGGGCGGCGCAGGAGTGTGGTCCCAAAGGGGACACACAGTGCCGGCTCTGTGGCCCGGGAACCTTTTCTGAAGAGCACGCGAACACCAAACCGTGCCAGAACTGCACCCAGTGCACGGAGAGCGAAGTGGAGATCCGGGCCTGCATGCCGAACTCGGACACACTCTGCATGGGTAAGTTGTGAGGAAAACATAGAGGGAGAAAAGAAAGAAGAAAACTGAAGGCGTGTTTACACCACAATGACCGTGGAGGAATAACAACTAAGCGCTATACAGTCCTGTCCACCATGTCGTTTCAGAAATACGATAGTGGGACATTAAAGCAAACCAGCGAGACTGTGTGTAATGTACCATTTAATTAAACAAAGATGTAATACACGCCAACCTTTCTTCATTTCCTTCCATTATAAATATGAATGGGCAACTGTGGGGCAAACCAACAATCAATTAATCCATTCATTGATTTTCCAAATGTTTTTTGAAACATATTAAATTTGGTTGGAGAATCTGTCTGGGGATATTGCGTTATAAACACACTGCTAATAGCTATCTGTCTATCTCGCTAGCTAGTTGTCTAGCCAGCTAGCTAGCTAGCCAGGTGTCTTGCCAGCTACCTGGCCAGCTAGCTTTAATCCAGGGGCCCCCAACCTTTTTTGCCCCACGGACCGGTTTATGTCAGACAATATTTTCAGGGACCGGCAATTAAGGTGTGGCGGAAATAATACAACAAAATAATATGGTATGAGCTGCATGAAAACTGTGGCGTTTTCGAAATATAATAATAAACACAAGGAGCGTCTAATCTGGCCGCAACACTCCGATCCCTATGGCAATGTTTAATGCCTTCAAAATACGATACAACGCAAATTCAAAGTGCATGAAAATGACGACTCACCACAGCCCCGAGCCTGATTTTCTGCAATCAGACAGTCCCATCTCGGGGTAATAGGAGACAATGACACCTCAAGTGTGTGGTTTATGTCCAGTCTACTTCGTAATTTTGTTTTCGTCGCCATTGCTGCAGAAACCCCCCGCCTCACACAGGTAGGATGTCGGAAATAGCAAAAGTGCTATTGTGGCGATCTCAGAGTATTCAGACATAACTTTAATCCAGTTGTCTCGAACGTACTTTTAAGGCCGCCGTCATTTGCGATCTCCAGCAGTTTTTTTACTCATTTTGCGAGCTACTGCGTTTTGTTTTGAAGTAATCAGTCACGTGATGGAGAAGCGTGGCTTGACGTGTGTCAAGCTGGACACAGACGGATGTAACGGAGAATCCGGTAATTTTTCAAAATAAAACA